AGGAACTCACCTCGTTGCTGCAGGCTCGCAGCTGCTCGCTCTCCCCAGAACATTTTGGAACAGGGCTACTGGGAGCAAAGAGGCTCCAGAGGGGGCCGGGGTCTCTTGTCAGAGGCAGCCAGCCCTCTGGGGACCTGTGACGACTCCCTCCATGTCTCCAGTGGCCCCTGCTCTGCTGGCCTTGACTCCGGGGGACAGGAGGGAAAGGGTGGGGCTGTAATTCAGCTCCCTGGGGATGGTTCCAGCCTCCCTGGGAAGCTGGCAGCCGAGGCCCAGGGGCTCCCTGGAAAGACCTCCTGTCTCCAGAGGAGGAGGTGGGTGAAGGGATTCCCGGGTTGAAGGGAGCAGAACTGGTTCTGGGGGGCACCTCTGTCTGAGCATTTGCAGGGCTTGGAGTCTCAGCGGGGAGAGAACGGTGCTGGGCAGGCAGTTCAGGGAACTGCCTTTGGGGGCTATGGTTTTCAGAGGCCAGTCCTGTGCTTGGAGGCTGGGATGCAAGGCTCTCTTCCGCTATGGAAGAGTTTCGGGGCTGCCCAGGTCTGTGGGGGTGCCTGCGGCTCCGGTGCAGAGGCAGGGCAAAAGGCACTCTCCCATAACCAAACATTCCTGGCTTGATAGGGTCTCGAACCCGGGACCTGAGAAGATGGTGCAGAAATGAAGAGTCATCTCTTAGCGTGTCTCCACAGTTCGATTCCTGAAAGATCAGCCTGCAGACCTGACGTCTCCTTGCCCCGTTCTGTTACCCCACCCCACCCCAATCTGCCCTGCCCTCAGAGCCTCACCTCTGGGCCCCTGGAGTCTCCTCTCTCCCCAGCTGAAAAGCCGAATCTCGAAGAGGGCCACCCCTTCCCCGAGGCTGTGGCCTGTACAGAGACTGGGGATCCCGGGGCGGCTGGGGTCTGGAGCCCTGGCCCCGGGGCCGGATGACTTCCGGGTGTCTGGGGGGCCGGGGTGGGAGGGACAGGCCTGGGTACAGTTCACATGTTCGGCTCCTGTGCTGCACCCCCACCCCACAGGGCTGGGAGCAGGAGGCCCATGGGCCCCAAGGCCCCCAGAGGCCCCTAGGGGCCTGACCCTCCTCTGACGGTGTCTGAAGAGAAGGTCCAAACAGCTACATAGGGAAAAAGGTCAGAATTAGTGTTGACGGTCAAGGTTTGTCGGTTGTCCAAGGTCACATTTACAAGTAGGACCAGACTCCAGCCTTGTGTGTGTGTGTGTGTTCTTTAACTAGGAGAGAGGGAGCTGGCAGGGAGGGCCAAGCCTAAACCAAGGGGCTGAAAGCCCTGGTGGGATGTGAAGCCTCCCTGTGAGGGAGGCCGGGGCCCGCTGGAGGTCCCTGGGCAGGGTGTCAGCATGCTTGGCCAGGGCT